AGTCACAATAGCCAAGTTGTGGAAACAGCCCAGGTGCCCTACAGTAGGTGAGTAGATCCAAAAAACGGGGTACCTATACACAATAGAATTTTACACAACCATTAGAAAGAATAAAATCATGTCATTTGCAGAGAAACAGATAGAGCTAGAACAAATTATATTAAGTGAGGTAAGCAAAGCACAGAGAGACTGTGTTTTCTCTCATATGCAAAAGCTAGATCTGAAATACATTGGAGCATGATAAATTTTACAGGACACTAGGCATTCACACACAGTAAGACCAAAGAAGGATAGTGTTAGGAGAAGAATAGAAAGGCACAATGCCTATGTGCATCTGATCATACAAAATAATACTCATCCAGATAAATACCAGAAAGTGGAAACGAGTATTTTTTCCTGTTATTGTTTTCTTTTCTTTTTGTCCTGTTATTAATAAGTCTTTGTGAATGTAAGCAGAGGCACAGAAATGGAGGGACAAGGGGTAAACAAATGTAGTAATGGTATTCACTGAGAATTATGTTGAAAATGAACTATACAATTTATGGGTGAGGAAGGGAGAGAAAAATGGGAACAAGGGAAGAGGTAACATTGTCCAAAAAGAAATGTACTCTTCACTTGACTTATATAACTGTAACCTCTCTGTATATTATCTTTATAATAATAAAATAGTTTTAATTAATAAGTTTTTCATTGTGGAAATACTGTACAGCAGGGTTACAATTACACGAGCAAGGTAATGAATACATTTCTAATCAAGCATTGTTGCCACCTCCTTTGTTTCCTCTTACCATCCTTGCCGTCCCATCTCCCCCCCACACCTCCCCCAAAGTTGTTAAGTTTGTTTTTTGACATAACATCTTGTACATCTCATTGTTACAATGAGTCCACTTGTATCCCTATTTAAACAATTTGATTTTTCCCTTCCCCTCCACAAATTATACCAACATAAAATACAGTGAAAACGGGTTATTTTTTTAAAAGAAAAGGGAGAAGAAACAAGCAAAGGATGATTTGTGTAAGAGTTATATAATGAATTAATGCAATGGTGTCATTGAGTATCCGTATGTGTGTGTGTGTGTGTGTGTGTGTGTGTGTGTGTGTGTGTGTATTTGTCTGTGTCTATGAAGATTGACTTAATAGAGGCTAGTACTTGAATGCAGTAAATCAAATTTTTGCATATTTTAAGCTCATACAGGTTTCAGTCTGTGCGTGCCTAATATAAATGCTTTTCCTTGTGTGTATATGTGTGTGTGTTTATATCTACATGAACAACTTACATCTTACAATCTATGTAACAGCAGAGTACAGAAAACCACAAAGAAAGGCTAACTTAACAAAATCGGTTTTTTAACTTTTTAATTAATTCAGTTTTTATTATTTTGGTGCTGGAGATTGAATGCAGGATTTAATGCATGCTCAGCACTCACTCTACTGGTAAGCTATGTCCTCAGCCCTTACTAATTTTTAACAAACTTACAGGGATAATTGTGATTTGACTTGTAATTTTAAGAGCAATTAGTGAGGCATATCATCTGTGAATATTATTAACTAGTCACATTGCCACTTCTAAGATTTGTTAGTTTAAAAGTAAGCAGAGAACTCTGCTTACTTTCTATTTTATTTTATTTTCAGTGAAAATATTTTATATTTTCCCTTGGATTCTGTCATATGCAATGCAATAATCTTTTTCTCTTCTGGGGACTGTTTTTTTTCTGTAGTTTAAATTTTTTTATATAAATTTGTACAAAGAGGTTACAATTCCATAATTCAGGTTATAAGTAGAATGTCACCCCTTCCTTCATTCTTCCCCAGTTTCCCCCAAAGTTAAGTAGTTCAATTTTTATGTAATGTAAATTGAGTATTTGATCACTCTTCTTTCCTGTAATGGAAAACTCACAAAATCTTAAACAAAAAAGTTGAATATATGAATATTTTAAAAGAAATGCTAGATTTTGGAGGAAATACATATGCTCATTTGAATCCAAACAATACAAAGTAGATACAAGATTGAAAACATCCAATGGTATTGCATGAAATAAGAAAAAGACAAGCTAAGCACCAGTGATTCATATATGCAATCTCAGCTACTTAGGAGGCTCAGACATGGAGGTTTGCAGTTTAAAGCCAGCCCAGCTGGAAAATTTTGCAAGACTATCTCTTCAATAAAAGTGTAAAATGGTAACTAGAAGTATGGCTCCAGTGGTAGCACAGTAGATATGAGGGGAAAAGCTAAATTCAAGTCCCTGAGTTCAAGCCACATTTCCAGTCCACATAAAAATACATGGATACAGATATACAGATACACTGACACACACAGGAAAGACAGACTGACAGATGGAAAGAAAGAAAATTGATTTTATGGTCTCATCTGGTTTTAAAAAGTAGAAAATAAGTCAGGCACTGTGGCTCATGCCTGTAAGCTATTCAAGAGGCTAAGATCTGAGGATCATATTTCAAAGCTAATCTTGGCAGAAAAGTCTATGAGACTCTTTTCTTTTTTTTCCCCCCCCAGAGCTGAGGACTGAACTCAGGGCCTTGCATTCATCAGGCAGGCACTCTTCCACTGAGCTAAACTCCCACCCCCTGTGAGAGTCTTATCTACAATTAACTACTGAAAAAGCCAGAAGTGGAGATGTGGTTCAAAGGGTAGAGCATTAGCCTTCAGCAGAAAAGCTCAAGGATTGTACCCACTGAGTAACTTAGATAAATAAGAACAAGCAAAATTGAAAGTTAATAAGATCAGGGAAGAAATAAAAGAAATAAAGACAAAAAAGAGAACATTAAAATGAATCAATGAGTTAAAATTTGGTTCTTTAAAAAATATAAACATTGGGGCTGGGAAGGTGGCTCAGTGGTAGAGTGCTTGCCTTGCATGCCTGAGGCCCTGGGTTCAATTCCTCAGCACCACATAAGCAAAAAGAAAAAAAGAACCCGGAAGTGGCGCTGTGGCTCAAGTGGTAGAGCGCTAGCCTTGGGCTGAAGAGCTGAGGGACAGCGCCCAGGCCCAGAGTTCAGGCCCCATGACTGGACCCCCCCAAAAAAAATAAAAATAAAAAATATAAACATGGAGAAATGCTTAGTCAAATACACCAAAGAAAAGGAAGAAGACTAAAGTAGAATGAGAGATCAATGAAAGGAAAATTTGTTGCTGGAAAATCACAGAGGTAAAAAAAATAAAGAATCAGGACCTTGAGGACAAGACAACAGTTTTTTGAAGAATGGAAGGTGGGAAGAAAGGGCAAAAAGAGCTCAGGGCTTAAAACTGCCCTGGAATTTCTAAGAACTGGTCTGCTAGGAAGAGGGTTGAGTTGGGTGAAATGGAGAGAAGAGGAATGTAACACAGATGCACTCATCAGGGCTCAGAAGGGCCAGTTGCAATTTCTCTTCAGCCAGAGGTACAGGGCTTACTGCACTGGGGGCTGGCAGAGGAGTGGCAATTACAGATAAGTAGTCCGGAGTCTAGGACCAAATCCAGCTTGGGGAACATCAGATGAGCGCTGCTAGGATTGGGGACCCTGGAGCAAGTAGAGATAGGACATTGTGGAAAAAGGATTGTATGAAGAATAAATGGGAGACACCTTGAAGGTGATCTGTAAAACGTGAAAGTAGGGGACAGACTGTGAAGTTTCAGGAAAAGGGACTATAAAATGATGGACTATTATTCCCTACTACCCATTTGTCACCCACTGTCCTCAGCCTTGGGTACAAAGCTCTCTAAAACAAAGAGGTAGAGGTAAGTAGCTTGGGAGGATCAAGGCTAGAGAGCAGCCACTTAGATCTTCCAGATAAGTATAATTCTCTCATGGAGAATAATTCCTTGAATAATTCCTCAAAAACTTCTTTTGAGCCCTGGGAACTGCTCCTCAACCCCCACGGGTGAGCAGGGTGGGGTCAGTCTTGCCCAAAGCCCCCATTGTGACTTTATTTTTTTAAAATAAGTTCCATTTTGACTTTAATAGTTACTACAGGCTAGGGGAAGATGGTCCTGCCCCCTTTTAGTTCCTTTTTCTCATTGCCCAATGGAGTGTGAGAACTAGGCCACTTCCACATTCCATGGTGCCTAAGTGCCACAGAATTTTTTTCTGGCTTACACCACAAGGAAAAACTGTAGAAGATAAGTTCATGGTTGTTGCTCAGAACCCCTATTTGCTGGAATCAGGGTAATATGTTTTCCCCCTCTTCCCCATCCTACCTCTGACATGTCAGAAGAAACTAGATGGCAAAAACTGACTGCAGCAAAGAAAAAAACAAAACAAAGGCAGAGGAACACCTTGGTGCTCCTGAAGGAGCAAAGAAGAATTTAAAAACCACAGTAACTCAAGACAATTACTGCTCATATGTTACCTGCTTGTGTCCATCATTTGCAGATGACTTGTGGTTCTCTTAGTGTTCCTTCCCCAGATGCTATTACGATTGTCATGGTATCAATTAAAGATATGATGGCTGAAATATCATGGTTGAAACCAGTAAAACTCAACGACTTTTTTTTTTTTGCCAGTCATGGGGCCTGAACTCTGGGCTTGGGCACTGTCACTCAACTCTTCAGCTTAAGGCTAGAGCTCTACCACTTGAGCCACAGCACCACTTCTGGCTTTTTCTGCTCATGTGGTGCTGAGGAATCGAACCCAGGGCCTCATGCATGCAAGGCAAGCACTATACCACTGAGCCACCTTCCCAGCCCACCTCAACCACTTTTGAAAGAGCTTGATAGCCTACAAAAAACAGACAGGAACAGCCTTCCGTATTTCCATTTTATGCATGATCTTGAGAGTCTGTATGAAGGGCTGATGAAGCCTTGGAATTCTGCGTCAAACAAAAAACAAGAAAGAGAAGTTGACCAAACAAAACCAAGACATACAGGATGAAATACAAAAGCAGAATGAATGCAGGCAGATGTTGGTCCAAGAGCAGGGAGAGCTGACTTAAGACCTGTAGCTCTGATACCGAGAAATAACTACCACACAAAGGCCTATGTATAGCTGGAGGGTCTTGCTACTTACCAGCAATCTTCCCAACTGCATGTGGTGTAGCTAGAAATCCTTTTTCTGTCTCCTAGGCAAGCTGAGCAGCATAATAAGAAGTTTATCTAAGAAAAAATATCATAAAATTAGAGATATAGGAAAATAACAAAAGCAGGACTTACAGGAACACAACTCTGAACTAGAAAAAAAAGTCCTCAGTGTTTATTGTTGGAGAAAGCAGCCATGAGATGTGGAATGGAGGAGTTACAAAAGGAGCTAGAGATGTCTGATGATAGCAATTTTCTAGCCTATTTGAAAACCCACATGGCCACAAGTAGTTACAACAGGCCAATGAAGAGAGGGCACAGTTACAGGAGAACTCATGAAAAAGCTGAGAAGACACCATCCTCAAAATTCCCAGAAGGACCATTGCAGGCAGAACAGCAGCTGCAGGTAGAGGCTCAGCAGCTTGAAGACTCATGTGGCTGGACAGCTGCCAGTCCAGATGGAAGACAGTAAGAGTCTAACTTGCCTTAGAGTAGGTGTAGCAGCTGCTTGTGTTTGAGGTAGCTTCCAAGGTTTTAGAACCAGCAGTCTGAAGATGGCAAAACAGTACTGGGGACTCTGGAGAACAATCACACTACTATCAGATGTGCTCTGTGACAGAACCATCAGTTCAAGAAACAGCTGACCTAGGTTTGGATGGCTTCATAAGGCTCACAAATGGCAAGGAATTGACCATGCTGTACCTTGCTGGTACAGTAGTACAACAAGAACCATCTGCAAAGAATCTGGGCTGACTACAGGAAAAGTTGAGAGAGTTTCAGATGATGGGAAAGCTAAGGAACTAAGCTGCCCAAGGTCTTCAGGAGCACTGAGACTAGAGCCTGTGTCATCTGTATCAGTATGTGACAGCCTATCAAGATCAAGTGACTGCCTATTTGCAGCTGACCTCAGAGAAAGAGGTCCTGCATCAGCAGCTTCTGATATAGCCCAGATGCTGGAACAGCTGCAGCAGGAGGTGCTGTAGGGCAGGATGGAAACACATATGGTCTGCAAGGAATTGCTGGAGACTTAGGAGCAATAGGTAAAATCCCATAGACAACATATTGCCATGGTCCAGTCTTTGTGTTTCTCCCATGAGTTCTATCTATCTTTCTCTTTCAGTAAAACTTTCTGATTACTGCTCACTCAAGACCTTCATTCTTCTATCCTTCCTAGAGAACAAGTTGGCTCCCAACTTGGCATCAATAGTTGTCTGTAGCTCATGGTATTCAACAGATTGGTGTGAAATCACTATTTTGAGTTCATACTTTTTTTTTTAAATCAGGACTGAGCTCTGCAGTGGAACTGCAAAATTTTAGACAATAGAAATCAGAAATAAGTCAATCAGAAGTGGAGATTGAGTGCTGCAGGCTGCCTGACAGAGTCTCAGAGAATATTCATCAGGGGCAGGCTAGGTGCTGTTGCTTTGGAAAGCTGATTATGCCAGAGATGAAGAGGCAAGACTTCCTCCTGTGTGCTCACCAGGGCTCAGTCAGCAGTCACACAGTTTTAATGAATGGTGTTTTCACCTTGGAGCGTGGCATGGAAGAAGCACAACATTCAGCACTCTGCTCCTTGCTCAGCACTTGAAACCCCAAACTCAGCTCTCCCGACAGATGACCAGTGAATTAGCCCAAATTGACCCATCTCAGCTGTCCAGGCAATAAGGCAGGAGTGTGCCAACGCTCTACAATTCTACCCTCGTTGGCTGTCAGAAAATTGCACAGCTGAAAGGAGGAAAAGAGTGGTATGACACTTTGAATGGAGGTCTTTGTGTCTTCAGAATTTCATATCTCCTGGTTTAGAAACTTAAATTGGTATTTTTCATATTGATATTGATTTTTATTTGAGTCTGAAATGTCTCCCCAAAGCTCTATGTTAAAGGTTTCTTAAATCAGGCACTACTGAAAAGTAAAGGGGGAAACCTTCACAGGATGAGGACTAGTAAGGTGTTAGGTCATTATGGACTTGCTCTGGAAAGGGGTTGAGGTCCTTAGATATTTCCATTTCACTCTTTTCTTCCCAGCTGCTATAAATGAATTAGGTAACTCTACCATAAGCACCCACCAAGATGGGCTGTATCACTTGACTCCAAGAAACATGGAAGAAGCATGAACTGAGACCTCCAAAACTATGAACCAAATATTGTTTCATTCTTTTTAACTTGATCACTTCAGGTATTTTGTTACATTAGCAGAAATCTGACCAGCAAAATGAATTTGGGTTTAGTTACCAAGCAAATTCTTATTAGTTCTATTTTCTTACTTAAATATTTTAACTGCAACTTAATTTGTATTTTCTATATACATAGGTCATATATAAATATTGACAAATTTGTTTTCTTTATAGGTCTTAGAGCTTTTATTTATTCTTTTCTAGTGCTGGGATAGAGTTAAATAAAATTGGGAAGAGTCTATGTTTTGTGGAATTACAAAGAAAATAATAATTTTTCAGTAATTTATATAGATGGTGAGTTTTCATTTTTCTGGCAGTTTTCTTTCTTTGTGGATTACTTTTTTGTTCCTATAGCCCTTGAATTGCACAGATTCTCTGGGTCAGAGAACTGGCTAATGAATTATTTGTATTCTCTACTCAGGATCTTAAAAGGCTGAAATCAAGGTTTTATCTGGGTTACTTTTGTTTTGGTCTTGTTTTTAATTTATTTTTTAAAATTTATTTAACTGTCAAGGTGATGTACAGAGGGGTTCTGGGTTGCATTTTTATTGGGGGCTTTGACTGGTAGAGAATGTACTTCTAAATTCATTCAGTTTCTTACTGTATCTTGTGCAATAGACAACTGTTTCTTGTTATTTTGGTTAACTTTTGAAATTATTGACAGATTAAAGAATAAGTAGGTAAGTTCCATATTAGCTGTTTTGTTAGCTATTGTGACTAACTCCCTCTTCTGTATTCATCTTCACCAACAAACCGGTTGCAGATCAATAGGTACAAATCACTGACTTGGTAAGTAAAAGCAGTTTTTGCCTACACTCACCTTTTATATCAGTTTCTCTGGACTATCCTCTTAATACTCTTGCCTTCAGAAGAAAGGAATACTAAAACAAAAGGGTTCCAGATTGAGAAAGACTATCAAGGAGCATGTTCATTCAAAATTTAAGTGGAGAAGCTATTGAATGATAAGACATACATATGAAGAACAAGAGGCTTCTTAACCCTGGACATCGTCCCAAGGCAAATGCTAAATGTATCTTCTGGACACATTTGTGTTTGGTTATTTGTTTTATCAGCTATTTTAGAACTTTTGTGGTTCACCACTGTTCTCTCATTAGCTATTTATAACATTACTGATAAATAACTTAATTGGTAACAATTGTTAAAGTAGATATTTAAGAGCTTGCAAAACACTGTCTATCTCAAGCCAGTAGAAACCACTGACCCTTAACTTAGGTTTGTATACTAAAATCTCCATCCTGAGATCTCCACTAATGCCTCTATTCTGAAAATTCATTCTATGAAAGACCATGAAGTTTAGTTTCACACACAGATCAGTAATTAGCTCCTCTTTCTTTGTGGCTAATTAATTCCCTCTTACCAGATCACATTGCCTTTTTTCTTCATCAAATAGGAACAATAAGGAAGGCTGATTTCAACTTCAAATCCTCTCATTTGGCCATCTCAAAAATGAAACTTTGATTAGCACAGTGGGTGATATGGGCAAGTTGAATAAGGTTCTGTAGAAGGGTAATAATACAAAGCCAGTGTTAAGATTTTATAGATGAATTGAGAACATAGATAAATAAAAAAGGGCAAAATGAAACACAAAAGTGTCTCAACTGGCTAGGTAATTGCTGAAAAATTACTGTGAAGAGGTTCTAATCTGGGAACCAAGAGTTCAATCAAGTGAATAACATTTACTTGAATAAAAGGATTAATATTTGGTAAGAGAATTAAAAAAATAGGATGGATAAAAGACAGCCTCTTTAATAAATGCTGTTGGAAAAACTATATATCAACATGCAGAAAATTGAAATTGGATCCTTATCTGTCAGCCTGTACTAATACCAGTACTAATGCCTTAATGTAAGACCTGAAACCATGAAACTACTATAGGAAGAAGTAGGAGAAACACTAGAACATATTGGCAAAGGCAGGGACTTTCTGAGTAAAGTTCCAGAAGTTCAGCAAATCAAAGAATGGACAAATGGGATTAGATAAAACTGAGCAGTTTCTGCAAGGCAAAGGATATAGTTAACAAGCCAAAAGGACAGCCTACAGAATGGGAAAAGATCTTTGCCAGCAATACAACAGACAATGACCAAATATTGCATAGTATGCAGAGAGCTTAAGAAAGCAAAATCCTCAAGAGAGTCAACTATACAATTAAGAAATGAGAAACTGCGCTGAATAGATACTTTTCAAAAGATAAAGTAATAATGGCTAATAGATATATGAAGACACGATCAACATCTCTTGCTATAAAGGAAATACAAATTAAAACAACACAGATTCCATCCTACCCCAGTTAGAATGGCCATCATCAGATATATAAACAACAGCTTCTGGCATGGATGTGGAGGAAAAAGAGCCCTAATAAACCGTGGGTGGGAATGTATATATGCTCAACCACTCTGGAAATAAGTTTGGAGATTCCTCAAAAACCTAAACATAGAACTATCCTATGATACCACTCATGGGGATTTATCCAAAAGATTACAAGCTAGTATAAAATAGCCACTTGCACAACAATGGCCAATGCTGTCTTAGTTACCATAGCTGAATAATGAAATAGTCTAGAAGCCTTTCAATGGATGAATAGATCAAGAAAATGTGGTATTTATACACAATGGAATTTTACTCATCTATTAGGAAGAATGATGTTACATAATTTGCAATGAATTGTATGTACTGGGAAAAAAGTTAAATCTCTCATATGGAATCTAGAACTAATTTATAAATGCATAAGTAAACACATTGGGGTTATATACACATCCACACAAACATATTAATCAAGATACTTTATATACATAATCTAATTTCTTGAATAGTAACTTCTTTGTACAACTACTTAAAGATGGTAAAATATAATTAAAAATGCCAAATCTTTTGTACAACTACTTAAAATAATATATTAAAAGAATTAAGTGAAAAACATTTGTTTGGATAAAAGGATTAATGATAATGATCAAAATTAATTACTTTTCCCAACTATTATAAAATGCCAAGTTGCTTGGCCCATTAGTTTTACCTATTAGTCTAGAATAAGTATGTATGTATTGGGAGAAAATTCAGCTGCCTCCTTAAAATTGCACTTTCTTTCAAGACTGACTATGGCATTAAAGAAGTTTTGAAGCAATCCAAGCACTATGTGATGAATGTGAGCACTGTTTCTATTATACCCTCCTGTGAGGAGCATACTGGAATTGTAACAGATTGTGTGCTTGGCCTTTTGCTACCTTAATTTGTAATGCTAGCTCACTTGAAGCAATGAATTGCAAAATCACGTGGGCATTGTGTGCTGCACATTACAACCTACTGGTTTTGGTGAGGCCAGACCTTTGTGAGGCATTGCTGACCTCCAAACCCAGGACTTGACAATAATCAGGGAGGCTCGCTGTGCAGTCACACTGGTAGAAATGGAATGGCCTATGGAAGGCAAGTGATGCCTCTTGTCAGTAAACACCTGGGAGTGTCATTATGACAAAAATATTACATTAAAACCCCTAATGTTTGGCATTATTTTTCATAGTCATAAAGGAGAAGCCAGGATTTCCTGAGAAACCATCTTCTTAGGAAGTTTTACCAAGGTTTTTCTTGTCCAGTTGTGGGCATGCCATTCACTCAGGATCTCTTGATTGTGTTGAGGGCAAAGGGAATGGGATTGTAATCCTAGAACTACAGGGACCAATTCTGTTTCTTACATTTGATACCACATTCCTAGTGTACAGTGTACTCTGGTTGGGGAGACAGATTCGATATATTTCCAATGCAATTCTGGAAATTTGATACTATATAGGAAATATACTTCAAGCTCATGACTCATGACTTCAAGCCTATGACTTAGAGGAAAAAGTAGATCTTTCTAATTACAAGCATTGGGAAATCAAGTACAAAATTTATGATTCAACTCTAAGAATGCATCCTGACTCACATACAAGGTTTTGGATAATTTTTTTTCTTGTTGTTGAGGCTTTTATGTGTTGTTTGAAAATGCCTCCAAATTGCACAGTCAAACCGTGCATTCACAAATTAAACAGTATCACTTATATATTTATAAAGACTTTAAAACTTAAATTATTTCTTCAAGAAAACAACCAGATTTATAACAAGCAAAGCAACTAGATTTGTGACAGGTAACACCTTCACAGTATAAAACAGAAAGATGTGGTTTCAACATTGAGGTGGCAGTATTAAAAAAAATCTTCACAGCTTCTGCTCCTAAGTGACTAAAACCGGATAAATCTCGTTGTTTTTTTTTGTTGTTGTTGTTGTTTTGATATGGGTTTCTTTTCTTTTTCTTTATGTTGCGGGGCTTGAACTCTGGGCCTGTGTGCTGTCCCTCAGCTCTTCAGCTCAAGGCTAGTGTGCTCTACTATTTGAGCCACAGCACCACTACTGGTTTTCTGAGTACTTTATTGGAGATAAGAGTCTCATAGACTTTCCTGCCTGGGCTGGCTTTGAACCATGATCCTCAGTTCTCAGCCTCCTGAGTAGCTAGGATTATATGCGTGAGCCACCAGCACTGAGCTTGGATATGAATTTAAAAAAAATAAAAAGGACTCTTTTGCCCTTCCTTGGCATGAAAGGCAGATACAGTTCCCAAGCTTCATGGCCAGAGAGAGACCACTGATAGAGTTTGGGTATTTTCCAATGAAGGTTGATTGCTTCAGTTTTTTTTCTGGCTTTGCTACTGTAGTTTGTCTTTCTTGTCTTTCCTTGCCAGACAGGATGGGGCATGGAGTAGGGCAAAGGCATGCTTCCTAGCTTTGGCCTGCTCTTGGCATGGGACACAATGGGCTACATGGAGGTAGCAGAGCAGGGATTTCTGGGCCTAAGTCTGCTGAGACCTTTGTCTCAGGAAGTGAGAGGATGCTGTGCAAAGAAAGAGCAAAGGGTTTTGGAGCTGGTATGAAGACAAGCTGGAACTGGGAAAAATTTGGAGAACAAAGGAAAATGAAAACAAAGCAAGGAAGAAAAAAGAGGTGATAGACACTACTCCAAGAGTGGGAAATGTAGTGGTAGAAATGTAACTGAAATGGGGTCAGTGGTTGCTACTTCTAGCCCCGACCAACTTCTGAGGGAGAGTACAAAGGGAATTGCAGGCCATTTTGCCCAGGCTGGAATTTTGAGATTCAGAACAACACTTAAATTGACATTTTAACATAATGAGAAGAAATGAATGGATTTCTGAGAAAAGTAAATGGCTAATTAAAAACTTCTAAATATTATGCTACATATGCTTCACAATATATTGTGAATATATAATATTCATTATAAATGTAATAGGAATATTAAAGGTAAACAAAGAAAAGTATGGACCAAAGGGTAGGAGGAATGTGCATATGGATGTAATCTGTCCAGGCTCTAGGAATATGGAAGGGGAATGAGAAGTGGCATATGGAAAGTTTTGAATTTCTAGAACTTTCTTAGTGTCAAGGCCTGCAGCATTCTCAGATTGTACTTCATTTTCTATGGAGTTATGTATAAAGATAGTTTTCTCACAGATACCTTACTTGCCTTTAACAAAGAATCCAGGCATTCGTTTCATTCCCACTGATATTATATGACATTGGAATTGGATGAAGATCTGCTATGCCCTGCACATCTGCAGTGATCACTCTTGACCACAGGTTGCTACTTCTGCCCTTGTCAGACACTAAATCCTCAACTGCCCTATACAGAGGGGCTATGTGACAAGACTTGGATAGCTCACCTGAAAGCCCTAACAGTGCCTTTGGGAGGTGGGGACAAGCCCGGGAGGTAGGAGAGGCCTAAGAGCCCAGAAGCGTCTGCCATAAAGATCTGAGGCTAAGGGAAGAAATGCCAGGTATCCTTGATGTTCTCCACCTGCCAACAAGGATCTTTTATTCAAGGGAACACAGGGCTGCTCTAGAGTCCAGACAGGACAAGAGTGCAGGAAGACCACTGTTTTCTGCCCCAGTTGGACGCGCGCATGCAGGTGCGCACGCGCACACCTGTGTTTATGAGCGTTGCTTAACATCGAGTACCCGCTGTTCTTGGGAACCCAAGTAGGGATCATACCCCTTCTTGACACATTGTGTAGACTTGATTGACTCCCTTATAAAGTGCTGTGTTTGAATTCACCAGACAGCCATCATCTGAAGGACAGGAGCGGGAAAGGGAAAGGGAAGGGTTCTGTGAGGCCACCAGCCACAGCCATGAAGACAAACTTCGTCTTGAGAAGTGAGCACCAGAACTGCTGTGGGTCCTCCACCGGCCCGCGCAGGAGCGTCCTGTGCTGTGCCAGTGAGAACGCGAAGGCCGAGAGCTTTGACTCTGCCAGATACCTCTCCAGATACAAAGCTTCAGGAAAGATCCACAAGGCTGCAAGCCAGGGCGACGTAGGCAAAGTGCAGAGGAAGCTCTTAGGTGGGAAAAACGACGTGAATGCCAGAGACAAGAAGAACAGGTCAGAGGGCCTGGGAGTGAGGGCAAGGCTCGGCCGCATGGGGAACAGGAGGCCAGGGGAGGCTCGGAAGGGGAGAGCTCTGAGTTCACTGAGGATGCTGGGCTTTGTTAGTACTGCAGGCTCCTCAGCCCTCGGGCCATGCACATCTTGAGAAGGTCTAGGGGACAAGCCATTTTTTTTGGTATTTTTTTATTGTAAAAATGTTGTACAGAGGGTTACAGCTACATGAGTAGGGTAATGAGTACATTTCATAGCGAGCATTGTTACCTCCTCCTTTATTTTCTATCACTTCCATCACTTCCCTCTTCACCTCCCCAACTCGTCCCACCTGCGCCCCATTGTAACATTTATTTTCAATATAGTGTCCTGTACATCTGGTCATCACAATGGGTCAGCCTGCATCCCCATTTAAGCGTTCTGCAATATCCCTTCCCTTCCCCAAATTACAAAAATGTGTATACAAGATGCAGAACACCGGCATCAAATCTAGTGAAAACAAGGGTTATACCATGGGGGAAGAACCTACAATAGAAACAGAAGAATCACATAGTGCATTGCAAATACATTGAAAACACTAGCAAGAAAGAAAAAAAACCCTCTTGTGTCCCTGTCTTGAGGTACATTCGCTTAACCTTATCTCATGTGGTCGTACGTACATGGCCTTTGACCTTCTCTGTTTGTCCTATATATGTACTAGTCACTGCAAACAATGGAAACCATGGGACCTGTGTTTCTTTGGGTCTGGCTTACTTCACTCAATAGAATTTTCGCCAAGTCTTTCCGTTTCCTAACAAATGGAGCAATGTCATTCTTTCTGAATTCCATTATATATATATACCACATTTTCTTGATCCATTCATCTACTGAGGGACATCTGGGTTGGTTTCATATCTTAACTATGGTAAATAATGCTGCAATAAACATGGCTGTGCTGGTAGCTCTGGCATGATCTTGTTTGTGATCATTTGGGTAAATGCCCAAAAGTGGGATTGCTGGGTCATAAGGGAGCTCTATGTGGAGTCTTTTGAGGAACCTCCATACTGCTTTCCAGAGTGGTTGAACAAGTTTATACTCCCACCAACAATGCAGTAAGGTTCCTTTTTGGCCACATCCCCTCTGGCATCTGTTGTTTCTAGATTTCTTTATTATAGCCATTCTAGCTGGGATGAGGTGGAATCTCAGTGTTGTCTTGATTTTCATTTCTTTTATGGCTAGAGAAGTTGAGCATTTCTTTTTTTATTGTGAAAATACTGTACAGAGGGGTTACAATTACACGGGCAAGACAATGAGTACATTTCTCATCAAGCATTGTAGCCTCCTCCTTTCTTTCCCCTTCCCATCCCTTCCTCCGCCCTCCCCTTCCCCCCACCCAACCCTCCTCTCCCTCCTACCAGTAGATGAATGGATCAAGAAAATGTGGTCTATATACACAATGGAATTCTATGCCTCCATCAGAAAGAATGACATTGCCCCATTTGAACATTTGTTCATGTGTCTATTGGCCATTCTTCTTTCCCCTTCAGAGAATTTTCTCTTTAAGTCTATAGCCCATTTGTTAATTGGGCAGGTGTTTCTTTGAGGATTTGTTGTTGTGGGATTTAATTTTTTGAGTTTCAAGAATATTTTAGATATGGGACCCTTGGACAAGCTATTCTTTCTTTCTTTCTTTCTTTTTTGTCGGTTGTGGGGCTTGAACTCTGGGTTTGGGTGCTGTCCCTCAGTTCTTCAGCTCAAGGCGAGAGCTCTACCGTTTGAGCCACAGCACCACTTCCAGTTTTCTAGTGGCTTATTGGAGATAAGAGTCTCAGGGACTTTCCTGCCCGGTCTGGCTTTGAACCATGATCCTCAGGTCTCAGCCTCCTGAGTAGCAAGGATTATAGGCGTGAGCCACTGGCGTCCGGCTTAGACAAGCTATTGTTATGAGAAACAAAATAGAAGCAAAATGCTGGCTTCTTTCTAAATCCACTAAAAAAATCCCCCTCCAGTGTCTGTGGTGGTTATTTAAAAATAGTTTTGGCATTTACCCAAATGATCACAAACAAGTCTATACTAAAGCTACCAGCACAACTATATTTATTGCAGCATTATTCACCATAGCTAAGTTATGGAACCAACCCAGATGCCCCTCAGTAGATAAATGGATCAAGAAGATGTGGTATATGGAATTATATGCCTTCATCAGAAAGAATCTCATGGCCCCATTTGTTAGGAAATGGAAAGACTTGGAAAAAAGTATACTAAGTGAAGTATGCAAGGTCCAAGATTCCATGGTTTCCCTTATTTGCTATAACTAGTATATGTCTAGGACAAGCAGAAAAGGTCAAAAGCTATGTACATATGACCATATAAGATGATGCTAAGTGAAATGAGCCCCAAAATATGGACACAAGACATTTTTCTTTGTTGTTTTTTTTAATGAACTATGTGATATTTTAAATTTTTCCCTTGTATGTTCTTCCCCCTATGTTATATCCCCTGTTGTCTCTGTATTTGATTTTGGTGCCCTGCATTTTGTATATACATTTATCTAATTTGGGGAGAGGAAGGGGAATAACAAAATGCTGGAACAAGGACACCCATTGTAACAATGATACATACAGACACTATGTTGGAAACTAACTTTACAACTTCTGTGGCGGGTGTGTGTGTGTGTGTGTGTGTGTGTGTGTGTGTGTGTATGTGTGTGTTTGTGTGAAGGAGTGGAGGAGGTAGAGGAAGGAAGGGATAATAGGAAAAAACAAAGGAGAGGGGGTCACAATGTTCCACAAGAAATGTACTCATTATCTTACTCATGTAACTGTAACCCCTCTATACAACACCTTGACAATAAAATAAAATTTTAAAAAATGTAATGACAACCTAAGTTTTTAAATTTTGCTGGTACTGGGGTTTGAACCCAGGGCCTCATGCTTACTCCACTTGCACTCTACCACTTGAGCCATCACTTCAACCCAGCTTTTTGCTGGTTATTTTAGAGATGGAATCTCTAAAATTTTTCTGCACTGGATGGCTTTGAACCACAGTCTTCTGAATCTTAGTAGCTTGAGCAACTAGGATTAAGGGTGTAAGCCACATTTTCATTTTAAAAGTGAAATATCTTATATAATGTGGGCAAACATGAGAGCTGTTCAATAAACGAACATAATCATAAAACCACAATTTATATTTTTCCCTATTTAGTGTTAGGGCTTTTTCTTTTAATAAATTTACATATGTGTTTGTTTAAAAAAAGTAGTTTTGTTACCTGATCAGGAACCAATGAGTCTCTAGTGAGGAGATCGCCAAACTGGAGGGAGCCTCTGTCTCCCCCTAAGATACCCTAGTTTAGTCACAAAAAAGAATTTGAGGACACATGGAGATAAAGACCAAAAGAGTTTAATAGTAAAGCAAAGCAAAGACAGATACAACCTAGGCATGAAATGTGATCACATCTCACAGATGTAATGAGCCCTTAAATATCAGATATTTATGAAAAAAGAGTTGGTGTTTAGGCTCAATTTCATCCCAGGACAGTGTCCCCTACCTTTTTAAAATCACAGTTAATGTGTTTAGCTTTTTAAAAAATCAATAAATTGATGCAAATAAATGATTTCAAAGTTGCTCTACTTATCTTGGCTCATTAATGTTAAGGTCTTCCTTTAAGCATAGATTTTTACCATTCACATTTCTTAAGATAGAAGTCTATTCTTAAGTTTTTAAAAATATGTTTATACTTTATATAAGACAAATCATTTCCCTAATTTTTTAGTTTTTAAAAATTTTATAAATAAGGTTATGGGTAAAGCAGGAGTACAATTGTTTTAAATCATTGTTACTCCATCCCTTATTATCTCCCACTTATCCATCTCTGTTCCCCTTCCCCTTCAAATTGTAATGTTCATATCCAACATAGTATCAAGTGAGTAACAATGTTGCTTTGGTTCATCCATTGTCTTGCTGTTTCTGTGATTCTCTTTCCTATCCACATATTACACAATCTTATATGCAAAATATGTGGTACAAAAACTAAGAGAAACAAAGTAAAAGATAAAACAATTGGAAAAAAAGAAACTATATACAGGGTCTAATAAAAATCTCTTGTTTCCATGTATTAAAGTTCAGGTTGATACTCTTTATTATATGTGGTCCTATGCACTAAGCAGTTGGGTTATTGAGATCCTCTCTTAAGAATATCATATACATATTCTAGTTCTTACAAATGAGGGAAACCATGCAACCTATATTTCTTTGGGTTTGGCTTGCTTCATTTAATATATTTTTTTCAAGTCTTTCTATTTCCTTAATAATGGAGCAATGGTATTCTTTCTTTCTTTCTTTTTTTTTGGGGGGCGGGTCCGGTCGTTGGGCCTGAACTCTGTGCCTGGGTGCTGTCCCTCAGCTCTTCAGCTCAAGGCTAGAGCTCTACCACTTGAGCCACAGCGCCACTTCCGGCTTTTTTTCTGTTTGCTTATGTGGTGCTGAGGAATCGAACACAGGGCCTCAGGCATGCAAGGCAAGCGCTCTACCACTGAGCCACCTTCCCAGCCCCCAATGGTATTCTTTCTGATGGAGACATAGAATTCTATTGTGTACCCAAACTTTTTTATCTGGTAAAGTGGATAAGGTCAAAGAGAAAAAATTCTTTTCTTTTTAAAAGTATGTTTACTAAATGTTACAACTTACAATGATGTGCATAACTTAAAGCAAAAGTACCATTTACATGCCTTTAAATCAAGCAATTCATTAATACAGTTTGTCTCTGAATTCTTGTCTGCTGTTTCCCATGCTTCATTTTCCCTAATCTGTCCTGCGTCTAACACAATTAAGAATGCACAGCATTTTATTTTTCATGTAAATACTAAAAAACAATATAATCATTAAAAACTTCATAATGAGAAATATTCCAAACTATATCTATTTCAGAGCTAAAAATTTATCACATATAATCCAATATCCATTTTAAATCATTATTCATTGATCTGTACAGGTTCTTTAATGAGAAATATTTGAAGTAGGATAATGGCTCAATGTTTGTCTTTTTTTTTAAATACTAAGCTATGTAAGATTGCCATTTTCACCAGTTTTGAAGGAGAATTGGTCAACAGTGCCTGGATTTTCTAAAAAAGTGATGACAATAACATTGACTGGTTCTTTATCACATCCCAAACCACCAAACTCTTCTTGCTTTTTAAATTTTCTCCTAGCACCATATAGACTACAATGAACATCATTTTAATATGTGATCAAAGTACTTTATATGCTATTATGGAAATAGCACGATGAAACTTCGTACGATTAACATGAGTGAATTCAAAATATGAGAAAAAGAGCATCTTAAGCCAGGCACTTGTCCCTAAACCTCCCTGCTAAACAGATGAAGTGGGAGGATCTTGAGACCAAGGCCAAATGGGCAACACAGTTCAAAATGTCTCAAAGAATGAAACTTAGACTTATTGTAATACGTAGTTCTTAAAAACTAACATAACAACAGATATAACTGTTGTTTCATGTAAGTGAAAGGTATGTTTGTCATTATCTAACAAGTAGTGAGCTGACATGTGTACAAAGTATTGTACATATTTGTCTAGATGACCATTGAGAAAGCACTATGATGTTTTGTATTAAACTACTGTTTTACTCTTCATTATATGTATGTTCATTATATATATATTCATTTTATATATATATATATATATATGAGAAAGATAGGTTAGCCAGTAACAAATAGATAGCAGAGTTTAAACTAGGTTCTAAGCCCAAGTTGTTGTATCTAAAGGCCATGAAGTATGTCTTTTCTTCAAAAAGTTGCTTGGTGCAGAGATGGATTACAGATATAGAGCCTTTTGCTTGCAAAAATATTACAACCAATTTAAAAGTCAAATAGGCTAATCTTTCTTCTGAAAAAAACTAATTAATGCTATTTCATATTTAAAATTATACAAATAATTTGGCTATTTTCTTTTAAGGCCTTATAATTTCCTGAAATGTCTTCTCATTTCACAGGACTGCTCTGCATTATGCATGTGCCTATGGACATCTAGCTATTGTGGCTCTTCTCATAGAGAAATGTGAGATTGATATTTGTGACAGCGACAACAGCACAGCTCTGATTAAGGTAGCTAATAGTAAACCATTTAATCAGATCATGGATTTGATTTAAATACTTAGAATTAATAGTGAGGAGTGATTTTGTACACTTGTAATCCCAATATTGGACATTGAGGCAGGAGCATCTTAAGTTCTGTCCAGCTTAGGTACATGTTGAGAGCCTGTCTCAATCTTCCCCAATTAAAAAAGTCTTAAAATGAGAAGAATTTATCTCACTTTAAAATAACTAATCGGCTGGGAGCCATTGACTCACACCTCTAAACCCTGCTACTCCGGAGGCTAGGATCTGAGGATTAAAATTCAAAGCTAGCCTGGGCAAGAAAGTCCATGACACTTTTAGCTCCAATTAAAAACACCAGAAAAGCCAGAAGTTGAGCTGTGGCTCAAGTGGTAGAGCTCTAGCCTTGAGCACAAAAGCTCAGGGACAGTTCCCAGGCCCTGAGTTCAAACCCCAGGATTAGTATGTGCGCGCTCCCGTGTGTGTGTGTGTGTGTGTGTGTGTGTGCGCAAACGCATACACACACACACACACACACACACAAATAAAATTTGTGGAATATTTACCTTGAAATTTGTGGAATGTTTACTTTGAATGCCTTGAATTGATGAGTTGTCTTTTGCTGTGATACCCACAGGCTTCACAATGTCAGCATGAGGAATGTGTGACTCTTCTACTCAAATATGGTGCTGATCCAAATGTGAGGGACTCCAGTGGCAACACTGCCATCCATTATGCCATCTACACTAACAATGTGCCAATAGCTGCCAAACTGCTTGCATACAATGCAAGTATTGAGTCGCAAACCAAGGTAGAGATAGCTAAACCATACCTCCTAACTGTTTGAAGTGCATTTGTTCTAGTAGTAACATATAGGGTTCATTCCCACATATAGAAGTTCAAACATTCACCAAAAGAAAATGTCCTTTAAAAACTTTCAAATAGTTTACTTCAAATACTGATACTTTCATAGGTGTTTCAGAATGTACAGGTAAATTTTTCCTTGGAAATGGGATTTATCTTCATATCCAAACATAATAATTTGGAAACCTTGTTGCTATTGAAAAGATTTATCAAAGTGAATTATTTCTCTGTGGTGAGACTGAAGCATTAAAACATAGTAGAGGGAAAGCAATTACAACTATGCACCAATTTGAATGTAGGTAATTGAGAGAAAAATACCAAAAATGGTTTATTTAAACTTTTTCAAAAAGTTTATGTGCTAGGAAAAATACTCTTCAATTTGGGGGATAATATTCCTTAATTTGGTAGAGAAATTATGTTGAAGTTACAAAGTTGCCTAGAGATGAAATTAGATAGAATCTGAAGAATCCTGGCCAGAAGTGACTAGATGTTGAATATGTGGAAACCAAAAGGAAAGATCAAATGTTTCTCTTTCACTTTATCCTTTTCTGGAAGGAATAGCTACTTAGATAATTGTTTAAACTATATTCTTAAAAGTATAGTCTCTGGCTGAGAGTTGAGAGTTATTTTATTTTGTAGTTCTGGAAAATGAAATCAAGTTGTAATTTGAACTTCTTGGTACATTGCCTGTCACTTTCTCTAAGTGGAGAAATTAAAGGAGTACTCAGTAAGTGACTGTGAATTTTAATATTTTTTCTTTTTGTCCAAATTGCCACGTGATGAAGGATGATACTGGAATGATTCTCTGGTCCTCTGCAAGTTTATCCTACATTTAATGTGGGAAAAGTTTTGACAATGTGCACATTTCAGCTTCTCCTAAAGATTCTATTTTGGTAAATCTAATAAGGCCAAAATATGCATATTTAAAAGTGTATCCTGGGGCTGGAGACATGACTTAGTTGGTAGGGCTGTAGCCAATGTGTGAAAGTAGCAGATAATTGTTCCTGATCTTGGTCTTAGAAAAAGAAAAAAAAGGTATATACTTACAGACTGTGATGTAACTCTTAGTCAATAACTGACTCAGTGAATTTTGTGACGCAATTCCTTATTCTTTAAAAGTAAAACCTTTCAGGATAGCAGTGGCTCATCCCTGTAATCCTAGCTACTTAGGAGACTGAAATTTATGTATCACCATTTGAAGCAAGGTGGGGCAGGCTGATCTTCGTCAATAAACCACACACACACATACACATACACACACATTTATACAAAGTGAAAACACACGCCATGTTTCCCCCTTCTAATAATGAAAGGTTATCTTTCATTTAATCTACCTCTATCCTTGAGGAAGTCAAAGAAATATGATTGGCCATAAGAGCTTACAGTACAACATCCTTTGTCTTTTCATGAATAGTCATCCACAGCCATTTAGAAGGTGTTTGAAATTTGGTTATGAGTAGTCTTTTAATACAAATAAATAGAGTCAGTCATAAGGATTTCATCTCTTGTATTAATTCAGGTAAACAGGTTCTAAATGCCAGTTATGGCCAGACACATCTAGCTCATATCCTTAATGTTAGTTACTCAGGAAACTGATATCTTGAGGATGGAGGTTTTAACACTGACTGGGCAGAAAAGTCCCCAAGATTCCATATCCAATTAATCAGCCAAAAAGTTGGGCTGCAGTGCTGGGTCCAGTGACAGAATGCCAGCCAGGAACAGGAAAGCCTTGGCAAATTGCATGATCCTGAGTCCAAGCACCACTGGAGGCAGAAATCAAACAAACACAACTCTCCCTCCTCTCTACCCTCTATTTCAAGAAAATTCAATGTCAGAATGAAGTTTTTTTTTTTATAGAACAGTTGCAAATCGTGCGTCTTATGTTCATTTGATGCTGTGTGGAGTCAGATCTAAGTCTGTTAAGTTCAAAGAACCCTGGTACCATCAGCTTGGCAGCTTTAATCACTGAAAGTCATACAGTTATTTAGCTTCAGCTATCCTTTGAATGTATCAGTTAATAATTAATGGGCAATTAAAGAGAAACTGACATATAGAAAAATACTTGAAGTTTTCTTGATTTTTAAAAAATGTTTTCTGGTCTAGTATTTTGTTTGAAGATAATATTAAGAACAGAAAAGATTTCATATGCAAATCCATCCTTTATCCCCAGCCATGTGGAAATAATAAAAAAGCATAAAACCACAAGGCCTATGGACTAAATGTGGCTCATAGATGAGAATAAATTTGCTTGTTTAAATTTTTGGATTCCCCGTTTAAATTCTTGGGAACTCCAGCAGAAATCAGGACTCCTTATTTCCATAGCCTTATTAGGTAAACCATAGTTATAATTGCATTGACCTTTAGTATCAGTGAGTTAGTTTCAGTTAGTAAGTTAAAAGTATCCATATCCATTAGATTTTTTACTTCTGTTCTATTTCTTATGTATATTTCTCTGGAAATAAAAAAAGTTAGTGAATTTCTCTGAAAATAAAAAGTTAGTGACTAACTTGGGTTCAGTTTCCGGTAGCAGATATGCATCAAGGTCACAGGATTATTCGTATAAATAAGAAAAAAAAAGTTGAACAGTTTTTTATCCTATAAAAAGTATCTTTTAACTGTCTCTTTTAACTCCAAGCCAGTTTCCTTAGTGACATTCAGAGAAGTAGAACCTGGCATTGGCATTTGGGATATGGCATCATAAATAAGAGAATCAATGAGCTTTTTCCATAATCGCATTGGAGGGTCCACATAATTGGAAAGTTTTCATTACTGTGCCTATTAAACCTTAGTTCTTTAAAATGTATGTTTGCCACAAAAGAATTATCAAACATGCATTAAGCAACATTATGACTCTTTAACAGTAGACTTAGAATGCAGAGTTTTGTAACAGTTCCCAAATACAGTTTCATGAAATCTTTCTGTGCGCATAGTACTTCAAGAAGGGATATATATGTATATGTATATATGTATATATATAGAAAGAGAGAGAGAGAGAGAGAGAGAGAGAAACCTTGCTCTAAACTCTGATAATGTTTGCCTTGTACATGTTGGAGTTGGTGGTTGCAGAGATGTAATGCAGAGCCCTTGCCCTCATCTGAACTGTTGGTTCAGATAGCATCAGTTACAGGACTCTCCCATACCAGGATAAAAAGCTGTCATGTGAAAAGTCTTATCAGGAGAGGGCACTTCGAAGGGTGAAGGTAGCGTGTGTGTGTGAAAGGACAATGGCTTGAGGAGACAGAAATTGCTGTTTATTTTCTTTCTATGTATTTATGTTCAACTTAGTGGAGAAATAAGTAATTTCATGAGTGTACATTGTTCTTGTTTTTTTTTTTAATTTTATTTCACAGGATGGCCTCACACCACTTTTGCTTGCTCTGAAGGAAAACAAACAGCAGATGGCAGAATTTTTAATAGAAAATAAAGCCAATATACACGCAGTCGATGAGCTGAATAGGTATAGTTATTTATTCTTTTTTCCACAAGTCTTGTGTTCTAATGTGGGAGATTTCACTCAAATCAGAAATAGCACATTGATAGAACAAGCTTAGCTTATATTTATTGGAATATAATGTCAAGTATATACACAAATGCTTCACACTGTCAAAGAACAGTTAAACATAGGGGATCCTGTGTTTAACTACGTTAAACATAGAGGATCCTATTTCTTTTAAAGAATAAATGATCTATGTTATTTGTTTTTTTTATTACCTTTAGTGACTGTGCAAGGGAGTTTCAATTCAACATATCAATTTATAGATGCAATGCATCTAACCAATTTTACCCCTTCCACTAACCTCCCACATTTATCAAATTCCCATCCATCTCAAGTTACCTTGTTTCATTTTCACTTATGTACATTGAATATTGTGCATATAGTATGGATTTTGTTTAATTTGTCATGCACTATGAAATTATTAACCATTTTATAATATTTTGCTCATATTTTATACCTCCTTAAGATACTATGTAAAATAAGATATAGTATATTAAGTAAAATTATAAATTATTTTATCATTTTGATAACTCTTTGCTTCAAATCAAACTCTTTGAAGAATATTCATATTAGCTTATCCTGAAATGACATGTACTGCTATTGCCAGACATCTGTTCAGGTATTTCCCCTTTTTACTATGTAGTTTATTTTGTTTTACTGTAATCAGCTAATCATCATGTGTAAAAGTGCCTGAGCAAAACAATGTGAAGAGGACTCATTTTGGATCCTGGTTTCAGAGGTTGGCTGTTTTGTTTTCTCTGGGCCTGAGGCGAGGCAGAATGCTATGGCTGCAGGAGCATGTGATAGAGGAGAGGAAGGTTCTTCTTTCTTGGAATTTAGGCAGCAGAAAGATGAATGGAAGAGTCCTAGCACAAGATAAACTTTACAAAGGCACAGGGCACCTCAGGGACCACTGCCCCCATCTGGTTCTCTTTTCTAGTAGTTAATTTATCTCTGAACGTATCAATTTAGTTACTTCATTAATGCATTTAGTACACTCAAAATCCATTCACTTCTCAAGAACACAGAGCCATTTGTGGTGCATTGTATCTTCAAAGCATAGAATTTTTTATGGACTTACTTGCTATAAAAGTAGAATTTAATAGAACAATCCTTTCCTTTAATAGAGATAAGTCATAGGTGGGTGGTAAAGAGAAAACTTTAGATTCACACAGTACTGGTTTTATGCCCGAATTCCCAGGAACTGGACAACTTATTAGTAAATATCCTTATACGAAAAGGAGTATAGCATTCATAAGGAATTGTAAGTTTATGTATGTATAATGTAGGCCTTTGCCTACTACACTATTATTATTATAGTTGCCTTTACCATTAGTATTTGATAGGATTAATATTATTTTACTTTTTTGACTTTTACTTGCTTGTGGGTTTTATTCCATAAGATGAGGGAAATAACAGAATATTACTCATTGATGTCTTTATCTACATTAGACATGTGACCCTCAGAATATTAGTTTTCCATTGCAGTGCATTAAATTAGGAAATTCCACTACGTAATACTCCAATGGGACAAGAGGCATCTGATTGTGTTTTTTTTTTCTTTTTTCTTTGGAGATAACTGACAAAGGTGAATGTTTGATGTGTAAGATACTTGCTACTGCTGGTATATGTAAATGGTCAATTTTATACACACAGGCATGATATTAAACTTACCAAACCTATTTAATTACCCATGCACATAAGCATATTAAAATACTGAAAGGTGAGGTTTTGCCTCTGTTATTTTAGATCAACCCTCATGTATGCTGTCCAATGTGAATCAAAATATATGGTCAAGTTTCTTCTTCAGCAAGGCGTTGATGTCTTTTTAAAAGATGCTTTTGGATGTCCTGCATCATATTATGCTCTTAGGAGTCATTGTAAAGTGTAAGTGTCTATATTAAAATACTAGTCAACTTTAAATTGAGGTTTAAAATAATGATAGCTATTACATATTTATTCATCCTCTGAGATTTTATAGTTTAGTTTAGTTCAGGTAGTTTTGTAATGACAATGAATTACTAAGTTATCAGCTCAAAACTAAGCAAACTTTAGAATAATTACAAGAATCAACGCATGCACAATTCCTTATCTTAGGTAAAATTTTGGCAGTATAGTGGATTGAATCTTATATGTACTAGTGTTATCCTAAAAGTAGTAGTCAAGTTTTCTAATCATTACATTTCATTTCTCCAAGTTTGGAATTTTAAGGCCTTTGTCCTTAAGGATCTGAGCATTCTCCATTTTATTCCAATTTAGGCCATTTTGACTCCAGTATGAATGGTGTCATATCTTTGATTCTTTAAATTATCTATTTATTTATTGAAGTGTTCTATATAGAAGAATATGAAGTTATCATTGTAGAGAGTTATCTTCTCTATCATTGTTTTGGAATTTTCCAATATCTGAAAGGGTTCATTCAGTGCCAAGAACACAATCTTATTTCACAAATCAGACATAGTGAAACAAAAGAAGATATCGTAGTCATTCTTTTGTTTTTGTTGATTTCATGGCTGCAGCATTGCAATTAAAACTTCTCTCACTTTAGAGCTTTACCTTTTCTCTTGGTCATTATGGATCCTGATATTTGACATATATATATATATATATATATATATATAAAAACGTCAAATTTTCATTGGATATGCTTTGAATAGTGTGACTTCATTCTTACTTCTTCATCTCTTCATTTGTCTATTCCTTTGCCTTTGATCTCTCCTTCTGCATCATTTTGTTGTTGTTGTTTTTTGTTGTGGGGTTTGAACTCTGGGCCTGGGAGCTGTACCTCAGCTCTTCAGCTCAAGGTGAGTGCTCTACCACTTGAGCCACAGCACCACTTTGGTTTTCTGAGTGGTTTATTGGAGAGAGGAGTCTCATGGACTCTCTTGCCAGGCTCCTTCTTCATCCTTTTTTTTTTTAATTGTGAAAATACTGTACACAGGAGTTACAATTACATGGGCAAGATAATGAATGCATTTCTTATCAAGCATTGTTGCCTTCTCCTTTGTTTACCCTTCCTATCTATTCCCACCTCCCACCCCCCCTCCACCCCTGGCCAAAGTTGTAAAGTTCGTTTTTTGACATAACGACTTGCACATTTCATTGTTGCCTTCTTCATCTTTTAGGGGACAGTTTCTTGATATTCATTTTGTTGTACTGAGTTAGTCTCTCTAAGAAACAATTCCATTTGATTTATTCCTTGCATCTACCATTCTTTGGTTAATATGTTGTGTACACTTGCATACAACCTCATATTTGTTTATTTGTATATTTATAAATTAGATCTAGCTTTCACATATGTGAACAAACATCCAAGCTCTGTGTTTTGGTTGTTTGGGGGTGATTTACTTCACTTTACTTAAGCTTTTTCCAGGTACATCTATGTTTTTGCAAATGATGTGATATCTTTTTTTTTGTTTTGGTCAGTTGTGATGCCTGAACTCTAGGTCTGGGCACTGTCCCTGAGCTCTTCAGCTCAATGCTAGCACTCTACCACTTGAGCCACAGTGCCACTTCTGACTTTTTCTGCTTATGTGATGCTGAGGAATTGAACCCAGGGCCTAACGCATTCAAGGCAAGCATTCTACCGCTGAACCACCTTCCCAGCCCATGTAATATCCTTTATAATGAATGAGTAAAACTACAATATGTCTATATACACCACATTTTCTTGATCTATTCATCCATTAAAAGACATCTGGGCTGTGTCTATACCTTCTTTATCACTGTTTCTATACTGTAGCTTTACTATATCCCAATTTATATTCTTGTTGAAAAAGCCCATGAATGGTATTGCTGGAGAGGGTAGTTCTACATTTAGTTTTTCCAGAAAACTCGAATCTGCTTTACAGATTGTTTGAGCCAGTTTTCATTCCCACCAACAGTGTATTAGGGTTTCTTTTCTCCCTCACTATGCCAGAGTCTGTTTTTTGTATTCTTGATAATGGTCATTCTAACTTCAGTGAGCTGGAATCTCAGGGTTGTTTTGATTTATTTTCCTTCATGGCCAGGGATGCTGAGCATTTCTTCACATGTATGTTGGCTATTTATACTTCTTCTGAGAAGATTGGTGGAAAATAAATTAAGCAGGAAAGAAGTACAGGAGAGAATGAGGTTTCATGTAGAGAATACAAACCCTACTTGTAATGTGTGTATTTTGTTGAAGAAGGAATAAGACTGGAAATCTGTAGGTCTGTCCTTATTTCTAATGAGCCAGAGCATATTTAAGCCACCATATTTTGGGCTTTTGGGGAGAATGAAGACAGGCACATGTATGGTGACTCTCTTGCCTTTCTTGGTCTGGAGCCACTCCCAGAAGGTCATACAATGATCATCTGAGTTCTTGATTTTAAATGTACACTAGCTCAGCCCTGAAATGGGTGTTGCTTATATTTGGAAGGTCCCAAGTTTGGAGAGAGATTGTAGGCCCATCCTCTTTCCTGCTCTTGTCTATGTGCCTACTGTAACAATGACTAATTACTATATATGTACTAAGAGAATTTTGTCTTCCAAGTCAGTTGGAGACTAAGGACAATTCTCTTAGTGATCTACTGATCCTGAGTTTTATTAATTTTCTGCCCTTGCTTTGTTTGGTTAGTTTACTAATTTGGGACAATTAGTTTATCTTATTTAAGGAGCTAATACATTAATAAAATTAATTTACAATAATCAAAATTAGAAATAACTGATATGCCCTGCTTTGCAAGATTGCAAAATAGAAATGTGAATAACCAAAGATAGCATTCATAATTTTCTGATAAATGTAGCATTTCAATCTTAAACCCTGCAAAAGTGATTAAATTTATTAGGGATTGTAATTTTATATGATCTTCAAAAATATTCCTTTCTTTTCCATTTTATACATGTTTTTTTTCTATTATCTTTCTTAGCTTTTATAATATGGTGAACTCAAGATACAAAATCCTTTATGCTTAGAAGATTTTTAGACTAACATAAAGGGATTTTTAAAAGAATAAAGTGTTTATTATAGAGACAGAATTATTCTTTGAGTCTGGGAACTTTCCACTGTACCATGCCAGTCAAGTTAATCTGCTGAGCTCTGTTGCCCTCTATTAGAATCATTTCATTTGTCTTCTTTCATGATAAGTTTTGCTAAATTTTGTCTAGCTCAATTTTGAAACATATGGAATAAATACCAGAAGTAATGCTTAGATAGTTTTAAATGCTCAAAATTCAATGTATTTGGTAATAGTTTTTGTATCTATATCAAAATAATAATTTTATCATTCTTTAAATTCATAGCATTAAGAAAACACTTTCCAAATATGAAGAAAATGTACTTAGCAGTATTCCATGCAATTATTCTGGTAAGATTTTTGATAGTGAATTTCTGTAAATTGTCCTACCCTACAGAAAAAAGTAACTGTGAGAGTTTTGATTGAAAAAGAGCAAAGAGTTGTGCTTCATTGGCTCACACCTGTAATACTAGCTACTTAGGCGGCTGAGATCTTAGGATTGTGGTTCAAAGGCAGCCCAGGCAGGGAAGTCCATGGTTTTTATCTCCAATTAGCCTCTAGAAAACTGGAAGTGGAGCAGTGGCTCAAAGTGGTAGAGCCCTAGCCTTGAGCCAAAAAGCTCTGAGTTCAAGCCTTACAACTGACCAAAATAAAAACAAAAACAAAAGAAACCAGGCACTAATGGCTCATGTCTGAAATCCTAGATACTCAGGAGGCTGAGACAGAGGATCAGCCAATCTCAGTAGAAAAATCCTAGATATTCAATCTCTAAACAACTAGCCAATCAAACTAGCATGTTCAAATTGTAGAGCACTTGCTTCCAGCAAGCACCCAGCCTCTGAGTTCAAGCTCAAGCAATAGTATAAATAAATAAAATCAGGTTTATATCGCATTTAAATTCTTTAAAGCCTAAGTTCCTAATAATTTAACATTATTTAAGAAATCATGTTTCAGAAATATAACACATTCTCTCAAAATGTTGGTTTATTCAATTTTTGAATTGTTATAAAGGTTTATAGCTAATGGCCTTTGTGATAAAAATGAAGTTTCTAAGGATCAACATCGTGAAAATGGCAATACTTCCCAAGGCTATCTACAAATTCAATGCGATACCTATCAATATTCCAACCTCATTCTTCAAGGAAATAGAAGAGGCAATCTAAAAATTCATATGGAACAATAAAAGACCCCAAATAGCAAAAACGATCCTTAACAGAAAGAACAGTACTGGAGGTATATCAATACCAAATTTCAAACTCTACTACAAAGCCATAGTAATCAAAACAGCTTGGTACTGGCACAAGAACAGACCCCAGGACCAATGGAATAGAATTGAAAACCCAGAAATGAACCCACAGGCCTATAGTCACCTAATTTTCGATAAGGGAGCTAAAACAATAGAATGAAAGAAAGACAGCCTTTTCAGTAAATGGTGCTGGCAAAATTGGTTAATCACTTGTAGAAAACTAAAGCTAGATACTTATATATCACCCTGCACCAGAATCAATTCCAAATGGATCAAAGACCTCGGAGTCAAAGCAGACAAACTGAAAACATTATAGGACAGAATAGGAGAAACCCTAGGTCTCCTTGGCACAGGCCAAAATTTTCTTAATAGAGACTCAGAAACACAATAAATCAAAGAAAGGTGGTTCAAATGGGATTCCATGAAGTGGCAGAGCTTCTTCATGGCAAAGGACATAGCTAGCAAGATCAATAGAAAGCCCATGGATTGGGAGAAGATCTTCAGTAGCCATACAACATACAAGGGTCTCATAAAATTAAATGGCACTCAAAAAATTAGATCTTCCAACAACAAATCCTCAAAGAAACAACTGCCCAATAAATAAGTGGGCTAAAGACTTAAAGAGAAACTTCTCTGAAGAGGAAAGAAGGATGGCCAGTAGACACATGAAGAAATGCTCAACCTCTCTAGCCATAAAAGAAATACAAATCAAAACAATATTGAGATACCACCTCACCGCAGTTAGAATGGCTATAATCAAGAACTCTAATAACAACAGATGCTGGAGGGGATGTGGACAGAAGGGAACCCTACTGCATTGTTGGTGGGAGTGTAAACTTGTTCAACCACTTTGGAAAGTAGTATGGAGGTTCCTCAAAAGACTCCACATAGAGCTCCCCTATGACCCAGCAATCCCACTTTTGGGCATTTACCCAAATGATCACAAATAAGACCATACTAAAGCTACCAGCACAACTCTGTTTATTGCAGCATTATTTACCATAGCTAAGTATGGAACCAACTCAGATGCACTTTGGTAGATGAATGGATCAAGAAAATGTGGTATATACACACAATGGAATTCAATGCCTCCATCAGAAGGAATGACATTGCTCCATTTGTTAAGAAATGGAAAGACATGGAAAAAATTATATTAATTGAAGTAAACCAGGTCCAAAGAAACATAGGTCCCATGGTTACCTTATTTGCAATATCTAGTACATATCTGAGACAATCAGAAAATGTCAGATAAGATGATGTTAAGCCAAATGAACTTCAAGATAAGGACACAAGTGGTTTTTTCTTTCTTGCTGTTGTTTTTAACATATTTGTAAAGTACTACATGATGTTTTTCTTGCTTTGTATGTCCCTCCCCCATGGTATAACCCCTGTTTTCACTGTATTTGATGTTGGTAGAATTTGGAGAGAGGAAGGGAAAAAACAAAATGTTTAAATAGGGATACAGGTGACCCATTGCAACAGTGAGATGTACAAGATGCTATGTAGAAAAACAAACTTTACAATTTAATAGGGGGAGGTGGGATGTAGTTGTGGAGATGGGAGGGAAGGGATGGTAAGGGAAAAATAAAGGAGGAGGCAACAATGCTTGATAAGAAATGTACTCATTACCTTGCTCATGTGATTGTAACCCCTCTGTATAATATTTTCACAATAAAAACTTATTAAAATGAAGTTTCTACTTTAATGTAAACACATTTAATTTAGAAACTTGAATAGTATTCTATAGTTTTATGTATTAGTTAATGTAATTTGTGCCACTAATAAAAGATAAATTTTTTTATCCTTTATTATTTGCTTGTTCATGTGCATGATTCAATTTATTCCATGTATTTTCAAATTGTTTAATTAAGGAGATAACCACATTGTTACTTTTGTATATTTAATAAATTTCTTCTTGTCATTTTCATATATGTATAGAATGTAATTTAAATGTAAATTTAAATATTGACCCTCATTTTTTATTGTACTCCTTTACTGTCAAACTATACCTCTTTGCTTTCTCAAGTAATCTGCCTTTTACTTTCATATGTTTTTTCAGTTTTGAGAAATCTTTGTGATGATTCTCATCATGACTGGAGTAAATTTCAATTTCACCAATAGTTTGTGAGTGTTCCTTTCCCTTACATTTTGCCAGTATTTGCTGTTGTTTCCTTAACAATAATCATTCTGACTGGAGAAAGAGAGAATCTCAGTGTAGTTAGTTTTGTGTTCAATATCCCTGATGCCTAATGAGGTGCAGCATATTCATATATTTATTTGGCATTTATACATTTTGAGAACTCTCTTCATTTGACTTTTGGTTAATAGATTTTTTTCTGTACTAGGCTTAGGACTCTTCCTTATTGGCAAGTGTTTGCCACCTGAGCCAGGTGCTGAGCCCATTTTTTTTCCTACATGTTTTGTTATTATTATTATTATTTATTTATTTGGATAGGCTCTTGGTTTTTTTGATGAGGTAGACTAAGGCCTGGTATTACATCTTCCTACCTCTGTCCTCTGTATAGATGGGATTTCAGTCATCCAACAGCATACTCAGCTTGTTTTTGAGATGAGATCTTGGCAACTCCTTCTTTGTGCTAGCCTTGAAGTGAATCTGCATAATCTCTGCCTTATATGTCCATTTACTTAATGGATTAAAAAATTCTATTGGTGTTTAATTTTTTAATTGTTTATATATTCTGGGAAAATGTATTGCTTCCAGATGGATAGTTCACAAGTAATTCTTTCTATTTGTTATACTGTCTTTTTACTCTGGTGTTTTCTTTGACATGGATAAATCTTTTAATTTGATGCAATTACATTTGTCAAGTTTTAGTATTTTCATATGGCTCTGGCTGTGTGGATTCATTTCTTAGTCCTCTGTTGTATTCCATTCGTATATATGTGTGTTTCTGTATGAGCAACAGGGTGTTGTATTAGCATGGCTTTGTAGAATAATTTGAAATTGTTATACCTTTAGCCATGCTCAGGATTACATTGGCTACTTGGAGTCTTTCTGCTTATATATAAAATTTTTGTATTGTTTTTCTCTTTCTGTGAAGAATGTCATTGGAATTTTAGGAGGATCACATTTTAAGTTTGGATATATGGCAGGAAGGTTAATTTATAATAGTGTTACTAATGAATACAGGAAGTCCTTTTAGTGACTTTAATCTTCCTTCTTTGGGTTATAATTTTTAAAATAGACCTATCTGATGTCCTTGGGTTTATTTCTAGGTATTTTTGAGGCAGATCAGAATGTTTTTATGTTGTCTTTCTCAGTATGTTTGTCATTAAACTCTAGAAGAACAATTCATGCTTGTATGTTAAACTTCTATCTTCGTACTTTGCTAAAAATTTTCAAGGTTTGGCCTACTTTTATACATATAATTATTGTTTGTAATCAGGTATGTAATCAAGTCAGCTGTAAGGAAATGTGTTATATAATATAACATAAAATGTATTTTCATTTTACCCCAATCATACATGTTAAATTTTAGGTAAGATAATTTAACATGTCTTGGAGTTATGAATACAAATGTAAATTTCAAGTTACTTTCATATATAAATGATTTGTCTTAATTTTTCCTTATTTTTCTGGCTAAGAAATGACTTGAAACTTTTTTTGTTTTGTTTCCTTTTTGTGGGTCAGTCCTGGAGCTTAAACTCAGGGTCTGGGTCTCCCTAGTTGCTGGGATTGTACAGTCACCAGACTTGACTATTATTTTTATGTCTTTAACCTAGTGATAGGCAGTACCTAAAACATTTTCAGAGTTTTTATGAGTACTTCCTAACTCTGTAGTCAGCTAGAATTACACTTGATTTCAATTCTTCATTTGAAAAAAAATATAATTACTATTACTGATTTTTTAAAATCTTTTTTGAGCTAATGAGGATTGGGCTAATGAGAACTCAGGGTTCATACCCTAATCATTTTGCTTTTAGGGTTATTATTCAGGTAAGGTCTCAAGCTAAAAATTCTCCTATATCTGCCTCCTGAGCAGTCAGGACTACAGACATGTTCCACCAGGTTATTACTTGTTTATGAGAGTATCACTAACTTTTGCTATGGGCCTCAAACCACCATCTTCCTGTCTCCACCTCCTAAGTAGCTAGGATTATAGGATGAGCTACCACCCACAGCTGGCTTCCTTCCTTCCTTCCTTCCTTCCTTCCTTCCTTTCTTCCTTCCTTCCTTCCTTCCTTCCTTCCTTCCTCTCTCTCTTTGTCTCTCTCTGTGTCTCTCTGTCTCTCTCTCTCTCTGTCTTTCTTCTTTCCTTCTTCCTTTCTTTGTCATGAGGCTTGAACTCTGGGCCTGGGTGCTGCCCTGAGCTCTTCAGTTCAAAGTGAGCGCTCAACCAATTGAGCCACAGCACCACTTTCGGTTTTCTGGTGGTTAATTGGAGATAAGAGTCTCGTGGACTTACCTGCCCAGGGTGGCTTTGATCCTCAGTCCTTAGATCTCATCCTCCTGAGTAGCTAGGATTACAGGTGTGAGTCATCTGTGGCAGGCAGCTTTCTATTTTTTTTAAGTGTTCAAGTGTTTTTAAAGTGTTTAAACTGTCTGAAGTATGTTATTTTAAATAAATGTATAAACTTGACAGGAAAACAAAATTTAGAAGTGATGTTAGAGGAAGAACAAAAAAAGCCTGATGGAAGGAAAAATATCAAGTCTCAGGTATGCAAAATTTTCAAATTCATACATCTGGCTTAATGGCTGTTCTTTGTTTTAAAATAAAGCACATTCCAATTAATTTACCTTTAAGACTAACCTTTAAGAATCAGTCTATAATGTTTGATTTATAATATTTTATTATATTGTTATAATATATTATGTTAAATGTATTATAACATTTATAATAGTGTTACTAATTATACAACTTAGTGTGTTCATAACATCTGTAGTAATTATGGCTAAAGTAGTTTATTGTTGGAATTTATGCAAATGTTTCTTTTTGTTGTTCATTGGTATAATATTTATTATAACATATTTAGTATAACATATATTATTTAAATAATAAAGATTGTCAGATTAAATTTTATCTGTGTTAATATATAGCTGAAGTTATGAGCAATCTAACAGCTATACACATTGGGTTGCATTCATGTGAAACTAGATCATTCTATTTTTAATTATTGAAAATATTTTAATTATGTAAAGAATTTGCTATCATAATTAGTTATTTTAAAAGTTGCATCCAATTCCTTTTTTAAAAAAATATGGAATGCTTCACAAATTTGTGTGTCATCCTTGTGCAGGGGCCATGCTAATCTTCTCTGTATCATTCCAATTTTAGTGTATGTGCTGCCGAAGCAAGCACCCAATTCCTTTGTAAAGCTGAAAATAGGTTAAGAAAGTAAAGAACTATGGAGAAAAGTTATGCCTATTTGATGGTTTTCTCTGTATGTTAGAGAAAGGTGATAGTCCTTTAATTTCCTTTAGAAGACAAATTGTACTAAATAAAAGTGAACAAATAAAAGATAGATCATTCCCAGTGACTTAGAATGGGAGTTATGAGTAGTTATTAGAATCAAGATTATAGAATTACTTCTGGTGTGTGTTTTCTATGTCTATAATGAATGAAGGAGTAAGGGTCATAAACTCAATCCAATGGTCATTAGAGAATCAAACCTATCACAAAAGGATTTTCATGTTGTATACAAAATTACCTCCTACCAAACTTCATATCAGTGTTAAAAATTGGTAACCATTTTTATTAAAGTCTTCATCCACTATTTTTAGTAGACATTAGAATAAATTGTAACTGTATGTTACAATTGGTAACCATTTTTATTAAAGTCTTCATCCATTGTTTTTAAGTAGACATTAGAATAAATTGTAACTATATGTTACAATTGGTAACCATTTTTATTAGTTTTTAGTAGACATTAGCATATATTGTAATTACATTTGATAAGCTATGGAACTGCTTAACAGCACCAAAATGTGTTATTTAATTTAATGTTTGAGAAACTGGTTTTTGTTCTGATTGGTGTTTATTGACTTTGCCTTTTAGTAAATTTTTGTTTGCTTCATTTGCGTACACCATAGTCTTTAAATTTTGGTGATGCCAAATCCTCTTATATGTAATGCAAACTCTGTAATATTAAATCAACAAGTTTAGATTTTGGAAAAGCTAACACATAATAAATTAAGTTTATTTCAAACATCAGTAAGAAGATGAAATGTATTATTCATGGTTTTCTCTTACATTAGTCCAAGGTTAATTATTTTCATGTCTTCATTATAGTCTCACTGATCTGAGAGTAGGCAAAGATATATTAGAAGTTTAATATTAAATTTTAGGTATTTTCTTTTATTTTTGTCCATTTCTGAAAGGTAAAGTCAGTTTGAAAACATGCACTTTGGCACATAAAATGACTGTGACTCAAACCAAAGAAAATCAGCCACTTTTGCATGTTTTGGTACAAATGAAGAAATGTAGTTAGAAAAGTACAAAAACTAACAGCAAACACCTTAGAACTGGTTGTTGTTGAAATGAAAGGAGTTTAAGTGTTTAAACACAAGTGAAAAGAATATGACCTCAATTATTGGCTCAAACCAGTAATCCCAATCACTGAGGCAGCAGAAATGGTAAGATCTAGGTTTGTAGTCAGCCCTGTCTTGAGATGTGCAAGACCCCATCTAAGTGGAAAAAGATAGATGTAGTGCTTGTACCTGTCACCCAAGTTGTGATGGGATGTGTAAATAGAAAGACCATGCATTGTCCAGGATAAAATGAGCAAAAGCAAGACCCTGTCTCTTTATTTATTTGTCATTTGTGGGGCTTGAACTCTGGGCATGGGCGCTGTCCCTGAACTTTTCAGCTCAAGGCAGTTCTCTACCACTTGAGACACAGTGCCACTTCCAGTTTTCTGATGGTTAATTGGAGAAAAGAGTCTCATGGACTTTCCTGCCTGGGCTGGTTTTGAACTGTGATCCCCAGATCTCAGCCTCCTGAGCAGCTAGGATTACAAGCATGAGCCACCAGCGCCTGGCTAAGACCCTGTCTTAAAAATAATCATAGCAAAAGGGTGGAAGAATTTGTCAGTGGTCAAGCACTCGTGTAACTAAGTTGAGGCCCTGAATTCAAACCTACAGCCAAGATTTTAAAAATCAGGAAAAACTGTGACCGAAATATTAATTATTGCTGGCCATGGTGGCGCATGCCGGTAATCAATGAGGAGGATGAGGCAGGAGGATTACGAAAATATTACTTATTGGAGCTTAGATATTCGCTATATTAAGTAAACCAAAGGATCAGTGGCTTATCCATGCCAAAGAGATGAACCGTGTCATTTAAACAAAAACAACAACAAATACAATGATGACGGCTGTATTTCTGTTGAAAGAAACAAGACCCATATGAGACTTGTACCAGAAACATTTACATTATAATCATAGGGCTAATAAATATAAAAAGGCAAAACTTGAATAAAAAAATGTCAATTATGGGCTGGGAAGGTGGCTCAGTGGTAGAGTGCTTGCCTTGCATGCCTGAGACTCTGGGTTCGATTCCTCAGCACCACATAAGCAAAAAGAAAAAAGCAAGAAGTGGCGCTGTGGCTCAAGTGGTAGAGTGCTAGCTTTGAGCTGAAGAGCTGAGGGACAGCACCCAGGCCCAGAGTTCAGGCCCCACAACCAGACCAAAAAAAAAAAAAGTCAATTATTTCCCACCACATAGTGACAAAATATCAAAAGTTTGTCCAAAGATAGAATTACAGCAAGAATTATAAGAAGAATATGAACTGCATGAATACTACAAGTTCACTTCAAAACCAGGGAGACTTTCACTTGCTGCTATTGTCTTTTTGTGTGTTTTTTTGTTTGGCAAGTCAATTTTATTCAATTTTCTGCTAATGGAATCTCACATATAAAATATGGTATCTGTTTAAGTGTGGATCAATTCTTTCATCTGAATAATTAGAGTTTACAAAAATCTTTTCAGAACCTTTGTTTTTCCATTATCTTTAGTCTGTCAATTTTCCAAGTGCTATGTAACATGGGAAACCAGAATACCATATGACCTCTAACCTGAGATAATCCCAGTGATGTAGCTAAAAGGATCATAAGGCCAATGTATTTTTCATAGTGGCTTGCGTATAAACTGCTTAATTGGAATAAAGCAATGAATAAGAAAGAATATCAAAAGCTAATAAGGCTCAAGTAGGTAATTATACACTCATCTTTCAGTTGCATGAATACTGTGAATAGTGAGTATGAAAATTGGAGCCATTTCATTTTCTAGAATATGTATTATCAATTCAGCAACTTTTCTCTACTCCTACTACTGTTGCTCACTTGATTCATACATTTCAGTGAGTGACTTCACTTTGTCCATTCCCAGGATCCCAATGAGGAAAATATTGTAGAAGGCAATGGAGCACAGTGTAGGTGGCTCAGGCCTGTAATCCTAGCTACTGAAGTAAAGTGCCTGAGGTCTGAGGATCTCAGTTTGAAGCCAGCCTAGACAGGAAAGTCTATGAGACTCTTTTCTCCAATTAATCATGGGGAAAAAACAGAAGTAGCTCTGAGGCTCAAGTGGTAGAGTGCTAGACTTGAGTAGAAGTTGTTCTGCAACCAGTGCCCAGGCCTGGAGATCAAGCCCCAGGATGGGCAAAAAAAAAAAAAAAAAGAAAAAGAAAGGCAATGGGGAGGTTTATAGCAAGAATTATAAGAAGAATATGAACTGCATGAATACTACAAGTTGACTTCAAGTTTAGTTTGGCTCCTTGGAAGAAAGGAAAACCTCATTTCAGTCACAAAGCTCTGTCAGGTCACTTTCTCTAAATTTAACTGCTGAATGTAAATTTTGAAGTAGTAAAGACAGAACAGGATACATTTCTCACTTTCTTTTTACTTCACTCAAAGAGAAAGTAAACATGTTGGATAGCAAGGAGTAGATGAAAAGAAAAGCATACAATTTTTTGATAGGTAATTATACTTAGCCTCAAACTTTTATTGAAGGTTAAACACAAAAAGAAGCAGCACAAAAGGAATGAAATGAAAATATCATTGAAAAAGCATTGCTGTGAAGCCCCTGCTGCTGTTGCTGCTGATGCTGACTTGGATGAGGATGGATCAGCTCCACTGGGAAATGGCAGTCACAAGCAGTTCCTTACTAAAGGGAATGGAGAACATAAGTAAGACAATGACAATATTTCAAAGTGCAAATAATGTTTGTTTAACAATCAGTATTAACAAATTATATGCTTCCAATAGAGATATTCAAGCTTTGTTTTGTTATAATTATGGACTGAATTTATCTATGATGAGATCATTTTCTTCAATTGCAGTGAAATATTTTATTTAAAAATAGTCGATATTGTAAATGTGAAAAAGATAATTCTTATGCACTCTGATTAAGTTGATAAATCTTTTTAAGTTTAAATTATATAACCAAATTTTCTGCATATCATTCTTTTAAGCTAACAATTTCACTTCTAGAATTGGGTCTTACTCAGCCAGGAAAATCTGATTTGGTAAGACATGCATGCCTGTAAAGGGATATTAATCATACACATATACTTATATAACATTAAGTGATAGATATGTTATCTATAATGTATTTGTTAAGGATATATATGTGTTTATGATATTTTAGAAATATTTTACTTATATATATATTTCTTTTTAGAAAGTTTTTATTAAAAAGTTAAAAAAAACTATGTAGTCTTATCATACTTTGTATAGTTTTACAAATATTTCATGGGAATTATATCAGTGGATTTCCATGACAACCTCATATTTTTAAAAGTTGAGAAAATAGTCTAGTTTTACAATTTTTACTAACTTTAAATAGTTAAATAGGGATCTCAATTCACCATGTCAATTTGTGTACATGCAGTATATTGAGAATTTTTAGGTTACCAAACAGCACTTTTTGTGAAAAGAAAATTTGAAAATAAGCAAAAACAAATTTCACCCACAGTCTCATATGACAAAAGTTTACATTTAAGAGCATAGCCTTTGATGCCTTTTGTGTATTTGGTGTGTGTTTGTCCTACATTAGTTCTATTTTAATGTTCATTTTCTCTTTTACCATTGCAGTGCAACACACCATTGCATATTATTCTACAATACATTTTTGTGTTTGTTTGCCAGTATTGGGGCATAAACTTAGGACCTTGCACTCTTGCTTGGATTTTGCTGGAAGCTGGCACACTAACACTTGAGCTCTAATTACAGCTTTTTGCTGGTTAATTGGAAATAAGTATATCTCTGATTTGTCTGCTGCAGTGGGCTTCACACTTTGATCCTCTTATCTTAGCCTCCTGAGTAGCTAGGATTGTAAGTCACTGGTGCTTGGCTATAAAAAACAATCAGACTTTTAATTTTCTTTTTTCTTTTTTGTGCTATGAATTGATGACAGGAACTTGAGCCTGCTAAGCACACACATTATCATTGGGCTACACCTTTAACTCAGATTTTAAATCCAGATCTGTACAATATCAGGAAGAAAAAAATGACAGTTTTTTTTTGTTTGTTTTGGTCTGTCCTGGAGCTGGTACTCTGGGCCTGGGTGCTGTCCCTGAGCTCTTTTTGCTCAAGGCTAGTACACTACCACTCTGAGCCACAGCCCCACTTCTGGTTTTTAAGTGGTTAATTTGAGATAAGAATCTTATGGGCACTTTTCTGCCTGGGTTGGCTTCAAACTGCAATCCTCAGATCTCAGCCTCCTGTGTAGCTAAGATTACAGTCACGAGACACTGGCACCCAGCTGTGTGTGTGTGTGAGTGTGTGAGTGTGTGTGTATGTGTGTGTGTGTGTGTTCCCAGTCCTGGGGCTTGGATTCAGAGCCTTGGCACTGTCCCTGAGTTTCTTTTGCTCCGGGTTAGCACTCTACCACTTGAGTCCAGCGTCACTTCCAGCTTTTTCTGTTTGTGTAGTACTGAGGAATCAAACCCAAGGCTTCATGCATGCTAGGCAAGCACTCTACCACTGAGCCACATTCCCAACCTAGATTAGTTTGTTTTTTTTTTTT